CCCCAAAACCCCAAAACCCCAAAACCCCAAAACCCCAAAACCCCAAAACCCCATGAAAAAGAGCCAAATTGGGATTATTTTAATTTTGTTCAATTAGTAAAACCTACTTGGGAAAAGAAATTAGAATCACTTTTTATGAATAATTGCTGCTCCTTCTTCTTGGTATTCAGCTTCTGTGATCCACATTGATTGGAATGTAGACAGGGCTCCCAGAATTGATCCTCCAAGCCATACACTGTATTTCCTTTCGGGTGGATAAACCACCTCGACTTTATTATTTGAGGATGCTAGTTGTTGGATTTCGTTCTTGAGTCTCTCATCCACTCCATCAAATAGAGTTGAACCACCTGCTAAGACAATATTTCCAAACAGTCCTTTCCGAATATCAGCATCACACTTCATGATGGAATAGTAGGAATATAGATGGATTCCTTCAACATCTTTGAAACCGGCATGGTCTGGCTGGAAGAGGATTTCTGGACATCTAAACCTCTCGTTTCCTACAACAATATTCCTTTGGTCAGGCAACTCATATGATTTTTCCATTTGAACATTATCAATGGATTCAGCAAGATGTTTGTCAAAATTTTCCTCGACTGCGAAGCAAAGTCTTTCTTTAATGTCTCTGACAATTTCGATCTCGGCTGGAGTGGTGAAGCTGTACCCTCTTTCCTTAAGAAGTCCTCTGAGATATTCAGTGATGTCTTTCCCAGCTAGAGGAATTCTGTGGATGGCATGAGGAATAGCAAATCCCTCATAGATTGCAACAGAGTTTGTAATTCCTTCTCCTGAGTCAAGGACCAACCCTGTTGTCTTTCCTGAGGCATAAAGAGCAAGTACTGATTGTTGCTGGACATAGAGTCAAGGGACATTAAAAACTTCAAACATCATCTCTGTCATTTTCTCTCTATTTTCATCTGGATTTTGGGGTGCCTCAGATAGAAGGATTGGGTGCTCTTCTGGAGTGACTCTAAGCTCATCATAGATAGTATGCTTCCAGACCTTTTCCATATCTTCCCAATTTTTGACGAAACCAGCTTCTATTGGAGAGGAAGTATTTAAAACTCCTCTTTTGATCTGAGCGTCCTCTCCTACATAGACATCTTTTTGCTCGAGAGAGACCATCAGAGAGGGCATTTTGGATTTTCCTACCAGGGTTGGGAAGACAGATCTGGGGGCATCATCTCCTGCAAATCCTGCCTTGGACATGCCAGTACCGTTATCAATGATCACTGCTAATACTTCTTCGTCCATTGGAGCTTATTTAAATTTATTTTATTTCAAAAAATGTATAAAATTTGGGGTTTTGGGGTTTTGGGGTTTTGGGGTTTTGGGGTTTTGGGGTTTTGGGGTTTTGGGGTTTTGGGG